GTTAAGTATTGTGATAATATCGTATCGTGGGATGTATGGTGATTCCCACCTCTAGTATTCTGAGTAAAGCGGTAGTTTAGTAAAGCCGAGTGTGTGCAGCGTTGGGTTGTTTGTGACTGATCCTGGTTGGTGTAAGTTTGCTCGGCTAACCGTATCTCAGGATGGAGCCCTGTTGTTCATAGTGTTTTAATATATGTAATAAAATATGGATGTTGCATTGATATAGTATTGCTGTGCACGAACTCAGCTGATCCTATGCTGTGTCAGTAGTAGATGTGGACATCAGCATGCAGCAGGGCGTGCAGAGGGTTGGTCATAGAGGAGGATCAGATGGATAATCTGTTGTAGGGACCAAACAAGGTGATGTGGAGCGTCCAGCACCTGAGCCAAATTAAGCACGGAGAAGAGAAACGCCACGATTCATCCCCCTATTTTAGGGTTTTCCTACATCTGTGGACATTGCTTTAAAAACAGGATTCGGGGTTAAAAATGTGCCTGAAATGACAAAGAAGTTCAGTTTGAAGCCTCTCGAGGAAACCCTGTTTAACACAGTGCTGCATGGTCTTAGGCTCCCTTTGTTGTTGTGTGGTTTTCTCAGACTTTCTGAATCTGCAGCTGCTGACTCATATCTATCAACAGCCATTACAGCAGCTCTTACACGCTGAAATGACTCGTTTCCTGTTGCGCTCTGTTTAGTAAGACGCTCTGGATGCAGTGATCGGAGTGAGAGAATAATAAGAAGTCAATAAAGGCTGTTCTCAGCAAACACTGATTATAAGAGGCTTACAAAAACGCGCAGAATGATCCCAACATGCTGGTTTTAGGCTCATCGCGTCTAAATACAGACATTAGAAACGTCACAAACTCAAACACTTTCTTGTCTTTCTTTCCACAGAAACCGGAGTAAGGATAGATCCCACCCCCGACGCCAGCTCCGCCCGTACAGCCCCAAACCGCGACCTCCCCTTCCCCCTCTCGCAGCTCCAGGGCTCTCTGAGGGTTCCTTTCCGGGTTCTCCAAAGGGTTCTCTGTGGTGTTCTGTAGAGCTCCATACGCCTCGGGGCCTCAGACCTTCATGCGTCTCCCAGCAGCAGAGTCCACCCACACCTTCACCCACCACACCACCACCTCCTCTACCATGAGCTGTGAACAGGAGTTTGGAGACGGCGCCATGGGAGTCACGCTCACACTGCGCCTCCTCATGCACGGAAAGGTGAGCGAGGCTGTTATTCATGTTAATTAGAGAGAAATAAAGGACATCGCAGGTTATTGTGCCGCCAGCAGCCAGAGACAAGAACATGACATCAATAAATACTGAAAAGTAATTACATTATAATAACATCTCAGATGGAAATGATTCAGAAACTTTAAAAGGTTCCCAAGTTTAACTTATAGAGAAAAAACTGCCAACATAATAAACAGAATATTATTTTCTGGGGAACCAGGATCAGGTGAGGACGAGGCCAGCACGGTTACCCACACACTCACAGAGCTGAGAGACACGGGGAGAACATGCAAACTCCACACAGAAAGGCCTGATGGTGGAATTGACCGTGCTGCACATGAAGAAGTCAAAAGCCAGTTTCCACAGTTTTGTTTTTAAATCCATTCAAGATATTTATTTAAGCCTTTAAGAAGGGGCAAAGCATGCAGCTCAATCAAATTAACCCTTTAAAGCCGGTCAGAGCACCACGCTCTGTTTTGCGTAACTACTTTTAAATCCCGGTAGCTCTGCAACCACGTGAGCTAGCGCAATAATTTTTTTTGCATATGAAACCGGAGGAGTTGTACT